GAGCTGGCCTGGGGAAAGCAGGTTTCAGGATGCTGTGGGCATGGTGTTGCTCCCAGGTATCTGGGTGGCACGACAGCCTGAAGGGGCACTGCACCTTCCCAGGGACACTACAGCCCCTGTGGCCTTGAGTCTCCAGGGAAACAAGAGATCTGTGGAACCCTATTGCAAGTACTTCCTTTGCTCACTGACTGGCTGTCCAGCTGTCTAGCCTTGAACAGGGATTGCCCCAGCAAGTCCTAGTTTCCACTAGGGGAATGTGGCCATGTAAGAACAGTGCTTGCCCTAGCTGTTCTAGGAAAGACAGTTTCCAACCACTCATCATGGGCTTTTTTGCACCTCTTAACTGGTTGGCATGGAAATCTATAGATGAAAGTCAGTGTTGCCCCCAAAGTGGAGGTATCATGCCCAAACAATGCACCAAGCTAGCTTGCCAGCTGTACTCATATTTGAGGAACCCGAGGTGCAGAATTAAACCTTTGTTCCCCTCTTGATGTATTTCTTTGCAAAGGCAGTATAATTCCACATTTGTATTTTCATTCCAAAGCAAATGCTCCGCTGCACTTTTTATTAAAATGAAATGTGGTGTGTGCAGCCTGGTGTTAAATGAGAGACTATTAAAGCCAATCAGTGGAGAACTCATTAGTAACCCTACAACAACAAACTAGTGGTTATGGCCCAGCATTCACAAGCAGCCCTGACAACCAGCAGGAAGGGCCCAGGTCTCACTGAAGGCTACCACAGAGACAGCTTTTGTAGCCCAGTGGCTGTGAATGCCCACATGGAATGGCTGAGCTTCTCCTCCTCAAATATGTGCCAGAAATCATATTCTTTTCTCATGACTCATCCCTGAATTCCACTCCAAGAATGCTCCTGTCATTTAGTTATTTCTTCCCATTTCTAAACTGTAATGAGAAGCACCAAGCCCAAGCCCAAGGAAATCTGTCCTATCAATTAAAATAACAAAATAAGCAGAAGGCTGCCTATAAACACATCCACCTCTTCCCACTCACTCCTCAGCACTCACAGCCAAGGCAGAACAGAAGAGCTTTGCAGAATGCCTGGAAGGTTAGTAACTCTCCTTGGAAGGGCCAAGAGGGAAGAACTCCCCATCTGAGCACCTCTCCAGAGACAAACCCCCACAGAAACTCCTTCCCAACCTCTGTAATCTCCTCACCTGGTAGAAGGGAGCAGAGAGCACAGTGGTTTGCTGGGTACCCAGGAGCCTGGCCACTGAGACAATGATAAACTTGGTTGACTGGAATATTCCAACCAGATTTCTTTCTGGGACAATGAAGGAATAAATGAACAGGTAATTACTGAAAATAAAACAAATAATTAAAGAGTGTAATTGAACTGGAAAACAGCATTTGGATATTTGGACTCCAAATGACCACCTAAGCGTGTTATCGGCATAAATTGAGATAAATCTCACACTAGAGGAAAACTTCCTCAAGAATCATTTGAAAAGAAAACTAACAATTTTTGTAGAAAAAAAAAAAAATCTTTCTTCAAGTATCTTTCTCCTACTTGTTAATGGAGTTCTCTCACCAACTATCTCACTGATTTCTAGGACAAAATCTGCAATGTTCAATGGTCATGATCATACTTCTGCAGTTCCAGCCTAATAGAAAGGAGAATCAGCTTCAAGACAGAGAAGAAACAGTTGCTATGAAACCATTATTAATACAGAAGCTGCAGACTACACACCTACATTGGCAAGAAATGGCATTTAGATAACAGTGTGTCTTGTTTCTTTCTGTGCTTGCAGCCATACTTCAAACAAGACTTTGTTTGCACAAGCACTTGCAAAACCCAACAAGAGTGTCAAGGTAAGAAGGGGGAAAGACATGGAGAAACTGAGCTTTCTAAATCTGAGGAACATTCAGTTCATTTCCTCTTTACTCCTTTATGATCAACCACCAGCCGAGACCTCTTTGAGTAAGACTATTTGATTTTAGCTGCATTCAGAACTACTGCACTTGCAGAAAGAAAAAGAAAAAAAAAAAAAAAAACTAAGAAATGGTCAGAGTTCAAAGGCAGATCTTGGGAAATGACTAATTCACAGTCTTAGTGTATAATGTGCCCCAGTTGAACTAAATTACACATTTTTTTAGTTGTATGTGTCACTCTCTGAAAAATGGGAAAATGGAAACATTCCTTTATCACAGTGCCTCCCAGCTACGGCTCTGAAGCAAACTGGACCACTCTGGATCAGCTTCAGGAGCTCCATGGCCATGTTCATCTGAGGTCACACACACTCTGCAGTCTCCCCAGACATCAAGCCCACGTACACACCTCTCTCTGTTCGGTGGAGGCATGCGGAGGGGGAGCTGTAAGCTGCAGATGGCTGAATATAGTACTGCTGGGTCCAAGGCAGGACTAAAATTAGTTTTCCAGAATCTTCAGTCCAGTCCAAAGAGAGCCAACCCATCTTTCAGGCACGCAGGTATTGCTGCTGCCTGCTATGCACAGTGCACAAGTGCTGTGGGACCTCAGGAAGTGGAAGGGGTTCCTGAAGGTGTGGAGCAGCTGGGTCTGCAGAAGCTCTAATACCCCGGAGAGACAAAGGAAATCAGGAGAGGTTCAAAGCTCAGCACGTAGCAAATTCCAGTGAGTTCAATGGGACCTGAAGGTATGAGCACAGATTACAGCCATTGATCTCTGGGGGGTTTGGTTCAGTGAGGGGAGCTCGTATCTTCAACTCTGCTTCTTTTCACTCCTTCTCCTCCTCCTCTACCCTTTCTTCTGTCCAGACTCCAGGCTGTGAGGCTGAGCTTGAAGCCATCACATTTCTACTGAACCTTTGGATTCATAAAAGCAATGGCTTATTTTGAACACCACTGGTTTTTATACACCAAAAGGTGTCAAAGAATAATTTCACCTGAAGAGACAAGCCAGCACGCACCCCACTCAAGTCACACCTTAACAGCGTCGCTCAGAAGCACCAAGAGGGTGGGGACGTGGGGCTCAGAACAGCACGGAGGTGGAGCAGCAGGACTTGGGCATGCAGGTGAGAAGAAAGCCAGTATCCCCACATGGGACAAGAGCTGCTGTCGTGGGGGGAGCCCAGGGCTGAGGCACAGCCACACTGCACAGCAGGCTGTCACATTTTAGAGACCCAAGAGTCTCTGAGCCAGCGCCTTCTCCACAGTGCAGAGGAGTGCCACGTGGAGAGGTCAGGCTGAGTCCCCAAAGCAGTGTGGCTGATGTGGGCAGGACGTTCTGCACAGGCTAGTACAGTGTCAACAGAACTCATCAGCAGAAGGTCTCTGCAGAACACTGCATCACATAGCAGGGGGACAATGTTTTGTTTCCTCAATTATTGCTGAAAAGACACTATACAGCTCCCCCAAAATCCCTCTTCATTTGGAAAGGTAGAACAACAGTCTTCCCTGATGCCACTTCTGATAACTTTGTATATATTAAATATATTTTCCCTGTTGAATCATTCCAGGGATGACTCAAAATAGCAGCAGAAAATACCCCTCACTGGGAGAGAAACTGATAAAAGTGTTGGGCACATTCAGTGGTTCCAAGGCTCACAGACAGCAAAAAGTCAGTATGGGGGAGAGGGCAAAGGGAATAAGAGCCAGTAACGTGCCAATGGATCACAGGGACAATGAACAAATAGCAGATAACATTATGGATAACACAAAACATCAAAGAACAGACTTTTCTTTCGGTCCCCAACTTTCAGGCAAAGCAAAATGTGCTTCCCTATCTAGCAGCCCCTCTGCCTGCCCAGCACAGCTGCCAGCATGGGGTCACAGCACACAAACCCACCCATCACACTCACACTGCTCCCTGACTCACCCTGACAAAGGAACAGAGATGCTGAGCCCTGTGTGGCCACCTTTCCTGATAGCTGGATTCCCCTTGTCCTACCACAGAGGGACCAATCTGCCCAAGGATTTTCCATGTAAATCACTGGAGAATAACAGCTGAACGAGTCAGGGGGCATCCAGCTGATTGAAGATACCACTTCCCCTAGCTCTTTCCAGGTCTAATTACCTGGGTTGCTCAGAGACACACTAAAACTCCATCTGGGACAAAAAGGAAGATCTAGGAACCAGAGCACTGTTCTAGAGTTTGTTCCACCACAGGCTTCTTCTATGACCTTAAACAGGCATATTGTTTCTTCAGAAAATCTGAACCTGAATCAAAAGAAGATGCTTATTCCAGGAGGTTTTCCCTATTTTAAAATGCTCTTTTCCACCTAGAAAAACCTGCCATTCTGATGGAGGTGCCTAGGCTCTCTGCAAAAAGAATGGGACCCAGAACACTCAGCAGAGAATGGCCAACAAGATGCCCATGAGCAGGGTGATAGCACAAGTCCTCTTTGAGATAAACCGGTTCCTTGAGACACCCAAGGGCTTCAAAGGCTTTCAAAGCAGGAGCTGAGCAGAGTTGTTGACTAACTCTTTTTGCAGCCCTAGTACTCCAGGTCTCTCTGCACTTTATTCTCTCCTGCAACTCAGGGCTAATGGTCAGGAGAAGGACATATGGTCCTCAGACAACAGGTGCCATGAACCTATTCCAGGTAGGTGAAACCACCATCAACTATGAGGGGTACCCACTCACATGCTGCTGGAGCTTGGCACAGAACCTGGAGCCTTCTAGATGTCAGTACAAAATCCCCACAGCAAGAACCCACCTGAGAGTTACAGACCCACTTATGTAAGACAATTGTTCAGTACAATTATAAAAGCACCATTTTGTGCATCGAGGGACACACCCAGACTTTGGCACTGTGCCCTCACTGTTCCTTTTCATCCTGCTGGCTTGCCCCTGTGTTGTACAGAGTCTTTCTAAGGGAATGACAGTACCAGCACTCAGGATGCACAGTGACATGGATCCCACCACCAGCACACCTCCCCTTGCCCAGGTTTTGGCCAACATCACACACTTCCCCAAAGCATCACATGCCCTAACAGAATTACTCTGGTCTCAGAGGTGCTCTGTGACCTCTCCTGAAAGGTGAGCCCAGCCCCTTCCCTTACCTGTTGAGCATGTTGGACTGGTAAATCCTTTTCTCCTGGGTGTTGTAACAGCTGCTCTTGGGCTCGGGGATGAAGCTGTGTTCAGACAGCATATCAGAAGCAGCCGTGGTGATTATGGCTATTCCATCCCTCACTCTGGCAGGAAGACCATAGTCCCATTCATCGTATGAGACCGAGATGAGGCCGGTGGGGAACTCGGATGGCACTGTGTCCGTATCCCCTGCCACCAGGCTGGGCACGATCCACGTGTACCCGTACCCCGTCAGGCCCACAGAGTTGGCTACCTCAAAAATGTAGGTGGCCTCTTCCTTCGTGCAGTAGAGGAGGATAACAGGGCTTTGGAGTTTCTTGAGCTGGTTCTGGATCTTTGAGTCCCCATCGTCCAGGGACATGTCCAACAGGAGGACCTCCTCCAGTTCCCAACCCACAAAACTGTGCTCAATGGTGCTGCGGATCTTGTTCACAAAGTCCTGGTAGCCAGGGAAGTAGGTAGTGACAATGGAGAAGATGTACCAGTCATATTCTTCCATGATGTTGAGCATGACAGAGGCTTGCTGTTCTATGGATGGGCCAAACTGGAAGAACATGGATGACTCATCCTAGAATAGGAAGTCAAAGAGAGGGAGAGAGAGAAGAAGAAGAAAACAGGAATAGGTTAAAGGAAATAAACAGCATTCCTAGTCAGCCCATCGAGCACGGAGGGGGAGGCACAGCCAGGATCCTACACTGCACGTCTTGGCCAGAGCTTGAGGATTTGTAACTTTTATAAATTGCAGTGAAGCAAGTGGGAAGGAAGTAAAAGCCTTTTTATGACCAGCTGTCCTTACTTTATTTTTAAAGGCAAGTTGCCAAAATTACTTAAAGGTTTTGCCTGTTAGGCATGATTGTAACAGACAGGGAACAAGTGGTGCACAAGTGACGCCAGAAAAGAAGAATATGTGCAAAATAGTTCATGGTTGCAGAAATTAAGAGCTGTGATAACCCAGGGATTACCATAATCTTACATGTAGTATTAACAGGATACAGAAGCTTGATTTTGATTTCATTTGGGAGAGTCAATCTAGTTTGAGCATCCAGATTGAAGTACAAATAGAACAGGCAAAACCATTGGACACAAATAGCTCTGAAAGCCTCAACTCCAAGCTCCTCTCAAAGCATGCAGTGGCACAGAGCAGTAGGCTCAGCCTCAGAACCTCATAAAACACAATAAAATGTGAAAATAAAATTCTAAACTACATGAGCTTTGTTTATACCATGTTTTAGAGAAAACAACCAAAAAAAAAAAAGGTAGAATTAAATTATCTCTCTCTGCAGAGATTTCCATTGTAAGTTCTCCAGATGAAATCTTCACTTTTAGGAAAAAAGATAGCAGCCCCACCTTCTTCCAGTTAGATAGAAGAGTTGAGCCAGAGATCCAAAAGGAGGTAGTCATGACTTTTAGATCTCAGGAAATTCACTGTGCAAATGCCTCAAGACATTACCTCAAGATATTCACATTTAGAACAGTTCTCTACCAAATTCACACTGCCACAGTCAGGCAGATAAAGCTGTTTTTCAGCAGGGATGCCAGTTAATCATCCATCCATCCCTCCCTCCCTCCCTCAGTTGTGGTTTTGATTACCTACAGCCATTTTCTCTATTGGCAAAATATGCCATAGCTCAGCAACCCCAGGAAAAAAAAAGCTTTGATCCTGCACCTAGCCTTAGGCTGCTTGTTTCCATTTCTTGAACTCCCTATGGGTTACATCCCATAGGAAAGAGTCCCTGCTCCCAGTTCTCTGCTCCTCTCCTGTGAGCTCTGCTGACCAAACTGTTCATTTCCTCCACACAGCTCACCACCCATTTGTGAATGTACTCTTAGGGCTGCTCTTTGCTCACTGGAAAAATAAATGTACACAAAAAGGAAAAGGAAAAGAAAGCAGCAATGAGTTGGAGACAAGTTAAAAAAAAAATAAACAAACAGGAGCAGCACAGAAGCCTCTCAATCTGTCAAACAGCTCAGAATTTCTACCAGTGGAATTCAACTCCTTCTCCCAGAATTGTGCTCAAGAACAGAACTTACTCTTCCAATAAAAAGTATCTTTGAAGCTTATGGAGAAAATCAGGAAGGCTGGAGGAAAGATTCCACTTTTGTCACAGTACCTGCCAGAGTTTGAAGAAAGCCTGAACAAGCATCTCCAACAGCCCTCACTGCACTGTGCCTGCAGAAGCCACCTGTGCCACAACAAGCGCCAGTGGGAAGTCAGCCTTACCCTAACACTAAATGGCAAGGCAGCTACCCTGAGGGCCAGCATTTATTTGTATATTAAGTTCAACAAAAGCTTTTCCACACCTACTTATAAGAACCTCTGAACTGACTGCAAACTTCCACAGTTTATACCAGAGAGTCTAAGAGCTGAAGGACTTGGCTATTGAGTTACAAGAACATTTGACACTGCGTCTTGAGGTCTGGCCTGAAAAAATACTGTGCGCTTTCATCTGTGACAAATAGGGGATGGAGATGGTAAATCCACCAGTATCTGAAGGCTGCATCCACACGTGCAGGGGTTGCTAGGTGCAAGTGCCAGCCTGCTGCAGGAGGTGCTGCCTGCCCTGGAATCTGAAAGAGGAGCGGGTGCCCCAGCAGCAGCGCCCGCTGACAGTTCATTCCACACGAGTGCACAGCCCAGCTGCTGGAGGGAACTGGGCCCCAGAGACTTGGGGAGAAAACTCGAGGCACCTCACTCACCAGAGCGTATCAGAACATCAAAAATCAATACACCAAACAGAGAGCTTTGCTGCAACCCAGCTAACCAACTCCTCTCCCCTGAGCAGGGTAAGCACAGCACCCCCCTCAAATCAAACTGCACAACCTGCCTGGCTCTGCACCCAACCACTGCTCTTGAGCAACTCTTTACATTTGTGTTATAGAAGCAGCAAGAAGAGGCAACATCTATTAAAAATGAGAGCACCAAGAAGATGCAAGCCAGTCCAGCTTTTAGCTTGCCAGGATGTCTCCTGGCACTTGGTCATCCCAGTACTCAAGGTAGCCAAACGTCCTTCCTTCCCTAACCCACTCAGCACTCAGGAAAGGGGGGGACAAGGGAGGAGGGACAGAGAACAGTGCAGAACCAAGTGTTCCCCTTGTAACAAACCAGAACTGCTGATAGAGCTGGAGGGGAGTCTCAGCGAGTGCCTTTTGGGGAACAAAAAGCAAACTAAGGAAAATACCCAAGTGCCACAATTTCCTTCCCCTCCTTATTTTGAACATGCCTGATGGTAAGTGAGGGTGAAAGCAAAGGAGCTGAACTGAGAGAACCACGGGGGTATCAGAGCAGGAACTTGACTCCACTAGGGTGTTACAGTGAAAGCTTTTAAATTAGAGGTAGATATAATGGGGGTTTACCATTTTTACACATATATACCCTATAGAATCATTATTACTTTATTCCAGTCTAACCCCAAGAAGGAGTATTTTACCACTCTGGATATTAAAGATTATTACAGAACATTACAAGCTCCTATTTTTACTCCTGCAGAAATCTCATGCTCTCCACCTCCCTTTTTCACCTTGGAACAGTCAAAACATGGTTAAACATGGCCAGTGGGAGACAGACTTAAGGTTGGGAAAGGGATACGTTGAGTTCAGAGCAGAATTCTCTTATATTGCCCACCATCCACATGAGGTATAATCCTCTGGCTACAGAATACAGCTTGTCTTTCCCCTACAGCCCTCCCACCTGCAAGCCCAGGCTCCCTGTAGCTAGCTGCTGCAGGAGACAGAAAGATGCTGCAGGGTGTCCCCCCCAGAGTCTGGAAGAGTCGAGGCTCCATTAGAGGATCTCGATGCCTCCAGAGATCCCAATACTCCTCCACTGTCACCCTGCAAGGTCAGGGATCTGTAGTTTGCAGAGCTGAGCTGGAGGTGGAGCTGATCAATTGACACAGCACCACTCCCCAGCTGACAGATGGCTTCCCACATAAAATCTGCTCAGAGCTTACCACAGTGGGACAAGTATTGCCTCCCCCTCCTGCACGTTTAACCCCTCAGATAAGGGGGCTGGGTTGCACATGGAAAAGTGCAGCATCCCTCACCACGGAGCCTCCTCCTGGTGGCTGGTGAGTTCCTGGGTGGCTGGCCGTGGGTTTGTGGAGGTGACACAACGTTCAGAGAGCAGCAAAGCGTGACTGCCACAATCCTAACTTGGCCAGGGCCTTTTGCCCCTCCAGAGCCAGCCCATGCAGGTATTGCACGAGGGTCAGGTCTGACCCCCCCGCCCCTGGGATGCAGAAATAAAACAGCCCCTCTGGATTTCACCAGCAAGCCAAAGCAGTGCTGCCTTACAAACAGCATCCTGCTATCCACAGCAAAACCGCCTCTCAGCGTGGGGCACTCGAGAACATCCCTAAAGCAGAGGCACACAGGATCCCCCAGAAACTGCTGCACTGGGCCAGTCATCTCAAAGAACTAAGGAGCCTTCCACCAGGCCAGAGTGTGGCTGCTGCCCTGGGAAGCGAGCAGACCAGTGGGCTGTGTCTTCTCTGTGCAACCTGTCTGGGTGCTGTTTGGTTCTGAGCTCCATCCTCCTGCTGCTGGGCCCTGCACAGACTCCTGCCTCTGGTGACAAGTCCCTCCAGCTGCAGCCCAAGTGCCATACCTCACAAGGGCCATCAAGTCATGCACAAGAAATGTGAGTGAGGAGCAAGTCAAGAGTATGTGTTTGCTTCCCATGTTTTTGAAAAATGCCCCAGGCTACTATCCCTGCATAGGTGCACGAAAAATATGATTTTTGCTGCTCTGGGAGTAGCCCCTTTTTATTAGGCTTTTTGGAATATCAGAATTTCTAACCCCGTATGCTGGAGCATTAAGCTTCCTGTGCAGCCATCATTCAACAATGGGGGTCTGCCCTTTCCTTCCCTTCTGGCTTGCAAAGGGGACCCTGTAAGGTCCTAAAGACTCAGGCCACCATCACTTTCCAAAGCCCTCTCCTCCATTTCCTGATTTAGAAGAAAAGCTGTTCATTTGTCTGTAGTACAGTCCTGATTTGCAAAATTCTTCTCTGACCTACAGACGAATCACATCGGGCTGCCTCTTGTTTAGTCTTCAGCCCTGCCTAGCACACATGTTGTGGAGACAAAATGGAGTGAGCAAGCACCAAATAACTTCTGGGAAAACACAGACCTTCATTTCCCTACCTATGCATTTCCTTTCTTCAGAACTGAGACACCACTGTGCACCTCTTTGTCACAGTCCTGGTGGGATACCTGATTCATGGGGAGTTTTATTGTTCATGATGGAAAATGCCACGACAGTTCAAAGTCTTATAATTAAATTTTCTATATTTCTGAGTGCTCTTTGTTATAATAGATCCGACAGGAAATCAGGATCTTTGTTGCCTAAGTGTTTATTTACTCCTGCTTATTCTTACCACAAATGCATCACTGCCTCAGGCCAGCCTGCAGTCAGGATCTTCTGTCTGTTTGGTTTTAGTCCCCACATTTAATTTTTTTTATTTAGTTTTCAACGACTCAATACAATAAAACTCTTTAACTCTACATGCTGCATCATCCTGGGTGTGAGTCTCTTCCTTGAGTGCTTGCAACAGGGACTATGAGAACA